GAGTACATTTTGGTACACTTACTTCGGCTGGCCAGTGGGTGGCAATGAATCTGACAACTAGCTAACGTCCACCAAAGAGGCTGATGTGAAACTATTCCATCAAAATGAAAGCCAGAGCTTCCAAATCTAGAAATTCATAAATACAATGCATTCAACAGCCCGATAGCTGAAGGGATAAAATAGCTTGAGTATCTGTTGGTTCTCCTTGGAGGGGCAAGATAGCACCGTCCAGAGGGCATTAAAAAAAAGACAGTTGAAAGAATGTGTCCAGGTTGATTTATGATTCCTTTTGCTTTCTGGACCACACACTCCTTCCACAGGGAGCTCAGGTCTGTCAGCTGGACTGCACAATCTTTGCAGACTTTTACAATGTGGTTTAAACTGCTCTTGTCCTTCACAGACAACCCATTAAACCAACAGAAAAAGAAAATGTTAAAAGAATTTTGACAAAAGAATGCTAAAAGCTTCATAAAATGCTTTGAGAAACACTAAGAGTTGTTCCTCCACATCAAATGATTGATCTGTTGACCCCTTTTCATTATTGATTCACAGTTTTTAGAAAACTTTAGTTTAGAATTGAACACTGTTCCAAGGTATTTTATATGAGTCAATTATTTGAACATTTCCAGTTTTAAGCTAGGCTACAATGAAATAATAGAGACTTCAAAGGCTATCAACGATCTCCACAGAACATGAACTGAAAGACAATTTAAATATAGGAATAATCAGATGAGGCCTTTGCTGTGATGAAAACTCACTATGCAGACCCCTGAAAGGAAGGCTATAAAACCATTTTTAAACTCAAATTTCCTCTCTCTAGTCATTTGAGTTTTTGAATGTGTGTGTGTGTGTGTGTGTGTGTGTGTGTGTGTGTGTGTGCGTGTGCGTGTGCGTGTGCGTGTGCGTGTGTGTGTGACCCAGACGAGAAAGTGTTGTTTCAGAGAGATTTGCTTTGGAATTGTTATTTGGAGGATTTGGACTGTGGTTGTTTGTAAAGTATCTGCAGCCTACAGTCCTGACCCTGCTGTAGTCTAGTCCTATCTCTTTTTTAACTACCATTATTTATATATAGAGATTCAAAATGTGTTCATGTTGACTCCTGTCTACAATAGTAATGGTGACAATTGAAGCACACTTACGATGCACGAGAGATTTTGCGTTTTGCATTTTGTCGCTGATTTGTGTTTTTTTTAAGAGGGGCGGCAAAATTGCTTTTTCGTCTAGAAAGGTACGATTGCTTGCTCTGGGCTTGGTGACCAGTATACGTGATTAAACAGTTGAATGTCCTAATAGTTAAGGACAAGTTGTACACAGTAAAGAGTATCCATCCTTCTTAAAGGTACTGGGTTGTCCTGGGAGCCTGCCCTGTCTGATCTTAACACAGAGTGGTGTTCTTTTATTGGACTGCTTTGATAGTTATGGACTACACATAACATGCACCGTGTTAGAGCATTGGGTAATTCACAAGTGTATTTGGTTCCAGAAGACCTGAGGCCAAATATCAGTGATCCACCTGGTGGGGAGTTGGATCAGTTGACAGGAGAACTGGAAAAATCCCCCGTCTGCAAGGTCTTCAACCCAACATGTTCTCTTCCAGTCTATAGATGTTTGGTGTTATGAGTAAGCCTATGATATATCCCTAGGATGGTGATGTGGGGTTGGGGAGAGGGCTGTTGCTATACAAGCCATCAGGTCCCTGTATGACCAAAGTGAGAGCTGTGTCCACTTCCTCAGAACAGAGTCACACATGTTCCTGGTGTGTGTCAGCCTCTACCAGGTTTATCCCCTTTAACTGATCTGTTTGGGATTTCCACATGCTTTGTTTACAGTTGTACAGAACTCCTGAAAAAACTCACGGGGTGAGCTGAGCTGCATGTGTGAACAAAAGGGACCACATTTTTCACTTGTATTTTATCTGGAGTTTCTCCTGCCAGCCTCCTTGTATTTTTTCCGCATGAAGTCCGAATGAACTGATGTGAGAACACAGCAGGATATTATCAGGAGAATTCTCCTCGAGCGAGTGGGAGGGGGTGGTAACATTCATTCCCTGCGATCGGTCCATAGACTGTATGCACATGTCCCTGTGCACATAATTAAACTTCTGTCTTGTGTTTTCTGTTCACGGTTCACCAGTATGTTCTCACCATTGTTCATATTGTGAATCTGTTGAACTGCACATATCATTGGGATGAAGGCAAATACTCTCATTAGAGTTGTATAGCGAATCCCGTTCAGCAAGGTTCTTTTTTCATCTTGTTGGATTTCTTCTTGGAACAAGCGTCAACCTCAAGTGTTGAAAAATGAAGCCATTGCAGAAGAACAAAATCCTGCAGTTTGTTGAGTGTCCGCTTGAGGCCCAAGCACCCAAAGTCATCCATTGAAAAAAGCCTGTTTTTGCCTCAGAAATTAGCTTGTTTACATCCTGGTAAAAAAAAAAAAAATTGGTATGATTAGCTCAAGTCATCTGTTTACATTTCATGAAGGATAAGCGTTATTCACAATAAGGCGTGTAGCTGACCTGACTGACAGGTGGGCAGGTTGTAATGGTTTGTCAAGAGGCCGTAAACCCGCCTCAGCTCCAGCTCTCAGCCTTAAGATTTACAGAGGTGGAGAAAGTCAAATAATAATACTTATTAGAGTAACTACTGCTAAACCATCTATGTGCTCAGGACACTATGAATTGTGATAGTCCTTGGTTTGACAGAGATAGCATCCCGCTGTGAGCTGTGTGTGTGAACGACAACCAGATCAGTGGATTTCAGGGGCAGTCCTCCTGCAATTCTCTTGAAATGTATTTTTAAGGGTAAAATTGATCAAAAGATGACCGATAGGTTGGTGCAGCATAAGCATTAATGTGGGCATGCACCTGCAGCCAAAATGAGGTTCCTCCTGAGTGTCTTGGCTCAGCCTTATGCTGTATGGTAAGGAGCTAGGAGTTGAGCCCCTGCTCCTTTGGATCAAAAGGACCGAGTCCTTTAATAGGATAGAGACTGGGAGACAGTGAGCTTATGTTTGCCCTACCTTCAAATGTATTTATATTTGTTTCAGAGTGAGACAGAGCTGCTGATGCCAGAAGAAGAGAACACACAAACCACAACATCTTACACGTCTTCAAATGATTTAATTTCTGTTTCCCCCTGCTGGTCATGTGAAAGATTTTCATTTTACCTAGTTGTAGCTCGCTATCATTTCTGATTGGTCAGATTAGTCAGGTGACTCGGCTGGGTCACAGTTCAGAGACTCTAATCAGGAAAGGCTTCAATTATCTCCATGTGGTCAGCCGGCAGCTCAAGCTAGCTCCTTTAGTCCTTCCCTTGTTTGTGCCTTGGAAAGCATCCCTTGTAGGTTTAAATTGGAACTGCAACTCTTTATAACATACACAAATACTATTTGATGTATTTTATCAAATAACACTGATGTAGTTTTGCATATGACTTGTAATTTACAAGCTAAGGTTCCCAATATTGGAGATAGCTACACATTTCACTGGTGTTTTACGGTGTAATAATTGTGTTGAGCTGTGCACATTTTTTGTACACTACATGCAAGACATTTTTACATTACATACAGCTATTTACGTATCTTAGTAAACCTATATTTAGCTGTCTTTTTTAAATGTATGTGGACATGTAATAAATGATAGCATCTTGTTATTGGTGCTTTGCTTCATTAGAATGATGGGAACAATAAAGAGCATTTGAATTTACTCCAACCTCTGACTTTTTTTTCCCTTTCTTGAAGTCTGTTAGCTGTCTGTCAATGTACAAAAACAAACATTGAGCACATTATGTGCACACAGTCTGATGTGTGTTCTGTCCAACACATTCAGAAACACAAACAGAAGCACACACACTTACACATCTAATGCAAAAAAGAGAGAGAGACATACCTAACAGGGCCATTGACATCAAGCCCACAGATATGAATACAGATTGTCCAGTGTCCATTACTGCATGGAAGAGAGAAAAGCCATGGAGTCCCGCTGCAAAACAAATATAACAGACTAGGTATCTTTAGAGATGAGCGCACGGATCATTGGCTAACATAAGATCCTGTTCGATCCTATCTGATGCCTTACACACATTATTGTGTGTAAAGGCGTTGATTGCTTTGGATGCTGTGGCAATGCTATATCAGCATATTTCATACAATGGCCCTCATGTGTTCTGCTAGTGTTGTAGTCAAGACCACAGTAACCGAGACCAAGACATACCCGAGACCAGAGTGATCCGAGACTGAGACAAGACATCTAGGAATCAAGACCAAGGCAGGGCGAGACCGAGACAAGACCAAGACCAAAACCAAGACCAAGACTAGGAGAATGAATATCAATGAAAAATCATCATCTTGTGTGAAGGGGGCATGTCTCTCACTTCGACTGTAACACTGGGAAATTATGAATGAATTGAAGTTATTTGTTGTTTTAGAAAGCCGATCAGAGTGCATCGATCTGAAAATAAAGGCAGAAATCCGCTGAGTAAACAACAAACATTACCTGGCTTTTAAAGGGAATGAGAGCTGACACTGATTGGTTTTATTCATGTTACGCCAAAAACCCACCTATGTATAATCAAATGACTTATTCCAACCACTTTGCACCCTGTGCCTCACTTAGCAGTTGTGTGCCCTTTGACAAGCTAAAGGTAGGCGAATGCATCCCAATACACGTCGGGACCAAGCGGTTTAGAACGTTAAGAAATGTCCACATGTGTCCTAAAGACAATGTCACATGGAAGCATCAAAGCATTCATTTTTAAAATCTTCAAAAACTGACTGATATATCCTCCAGCAACATCATGTCAAAGTTCCCATATTCCCCGTCAGCAACATGCTGCTTTTCTATGTTGTTATATAACTCAATCTGACTGCCGAATGCCTGAAAAGCTGATCGTTCAGTGTCAGGTGTAGAAAGAATAAAATGCTTTTAATGTTTTTTTTTAGATGTTTACTACATGATTTTAAATTTGTTCATGCTTGTGTTTGTTTGTGCAATCCTGTAGGTGCGTGCTAGTGCTATAGCCCAGGACGCCGACCAGAACTACGATTATGCCAGTAACAGCGCTGTGCTGCATCTGGAGCCTGGAGATGAGGTCTACATTAAACTGGATGGAGGCAAAGCTCATGGAGGGAACAACAACAAGTATAGCACCTTCTCTGGATTCATCATCTACGCTGACTAGACAACACATTCAAGTCTTCAGTCACTGATGAGATGCACAAACATTCTCTTTTAAACATCTGTGGAGACGCCCTATATAAATCAGCCCTCCATAGCCTGTAAAGAATTTTATTTTCCTCTCTCTGCCATCATCACAGTCTTCGGTGCAACTGACTTTGGACCTTAATATTGATGGAATAGCTGAAAGACAATGACCTCTATTTTACCCTCACGTCTCCCTACAACTTGAAGCCTATTTTTTTTATGTCCTGTTAAGGACTCATGACTGATGATGGTGAATGGGAATTGGAAGAGTTTGTAAATGCTTAGTGCTTCTAAGTCTGATTGGCAAAAAGCTTCCTGCCAACAGATCAAGCCGGGTGTCAGTACAGTATAGTCAAATTTGGGAAAGCTACATTAACGAGTAGGTGGAAAAAAACAAAAAGAAATCAAGAAACTCGGAGGTAGTTCTAAAGATCTACCAATGATGTTCAAAGATACATTTAAACAATTGAAGTATTTGAGTCGATTTAATGATTCAGAGCAATACACACAGTAATAAACCATACTAATGGTGATGATCAAAGAGAAAGTCATAAGGGTGTTCTTCTTTCTTTGTCGGTGTCATGCTGCTCCGACATAAAGGAGAGCTGGTAACCCTTGAAGTTATGATAGAGAATTATGATAGACAGACAGCAGATTATACCTCCCATAATAAACATACTTACATCACTCATTTTATGCTCACAAATATACAGGTATAACATATATATTATATAAATATATCTATGAAATGTTATAACATGATTGATCTTAATCTAATGATGTTGATTCAAAATGGCTGGATTGAAGTTTAAATGCCTTGATTATTATTTCTGCAGGGATTTATTAGAATCACTTTAAATACATTATGTTGGCCGTTGTAGAAACACTTCTGCTCAAAATATATTCTTAAAATGTGGCCCAGAAATATCTATTGACTCCTTCTGTCAGACTGGATCCAAAGAAAACACGACACACTTGAGACAAATTTAACGTTTTGATGCACTGTGTCTTCCTCAGAGTCAAACAGTACAGGTACAAATTTGAAAAGGCTAAATACACTCACACTTATTGGTTAATGAAAGTTGGATGAAATCAGGGAGTATACCGGAACTGTGACAACACTCATGTGTAGCCCAATCATTTAACATCCCATCCCAAATGTGATAATATTTACAATACTCTATTTATAAGATGACTACTATTCCTCTATTGAGACAAAGCCTAAGACGATATAAACAACATTAAAAGAAACATGAGAGGCCTAATTCCTCATTTAGTCCATAGTGTTCAACTGTGTTGAAGGTATCAATCCAAAAGGCCTCTCTTTTTTAACGTCTCTGTGAGAACCGACCTCCATTTGTGGAGTGACTGAAGTGTAAGAGTTTCCTTCTACTGATCTATTGATTTGTGTTGAGCTTTAAAGGGGAAATGTTTGAAAATAATAATGAACCACTGATGATTTTTCTGATGACTCCTGGGTGGCCTTTAGGGACATTTTTATGTTTTATGTAAAATGTATTTAACCAGGTGAAACCTCATTGAGATTAAGAGTGTCCTGGCCAAGAGGGGGCAGCAGCACAAGAGTACACAGAGTAATTACAAACATAAAACAGTGAAAAGGAAGGATTTAGGGACAACCCTATTGAACCTCAGATAACTGCTGCTACAGGAACTGGTTGTAAAGCTATGGTCTTAAGTTTCCTTATTGAGTTTAGATTTTTAGTTGCGCTATGGAGCTTCTTACTGAGTTACAGGAAACGGCAACACAGAAATGCTGCCAAAGAATGCTGGATGAAAATCTATCCATCCAGTTTCTGCTGCTTCTCCATGAGCTCATTGCTGCGTTATTCTGCTGTAACTGAAATCACAAACCCTCTTTTTGGGAGACTCCTCAGTAGCAGGGCAACAAAACTTTGTCTAAGCAAACAATGGCGTCTTCAAAGTGTCCCAGTGTTTGAGCTACAGCAGTCCAGCGCTGTGTTCTAAAATAATGAATGTCATGGTCTGATGAAGCAAACAGAACACATCATCTAAATGGAAGAGCGATCCTGAGGTCCAAAAACTGGCTGCCCCGCAAACCGTGGATATGAAGATCCCATCCAGGAAGATCAAAAGTACAATCAGTGACAAAGTAGAACACAACAGGGAACCAACACCCGCTGAATAAGAGAGCTTGAACTTCCTTCTGAGAACAATGACACAACTGTATTTTAAAATAGTAACACAAAATAGGAACAGACCAAGGTGGCACTATCCCCCAACACTGTCCAGAACATTTAACATTTAAGGTTGAGTCTAATCCAAGTGTGAGGCCTTCCTGGAGTCCATAACTCAGAAGTGATTAACACAAAAAGTGGCTCTGGTACCAGCAATCTATTGTATACTCTCACTTTTGAGAAAGACCCCAAAAAAGGTATTAATCATTAAATATCCTCAACTTTGAAATCTGATTGTGACAGAAAAAACGAAGGCGTAGAAGCAACTTATTTGTTCCATAATTACATGAACTTACTTCTGTCATTTCAATGTTTGAGTATGTCAGGGTGACTCAACCTGTCTATCAATCAACCATGATTCAGTGAGCTCTACTATTCGTCCAAATATTTTAGTAGTAAAATATTTAAATAGTTTTAATGCCCGTTCCCTGAGGAGGAATTCAATTTGGGCATTTTTAAATGGGGCATCACAACCACAACAGTCATTTACCATTTCCAAAAGAGCAGCCACTACCATGAGTAGTTCTTCTACGTCTACATGAAACTTGAACTGAAATATGTCTCCTGGTAGCAACTTTGAAGATGTTAATGAAAGTGGTTTGTTTGATAGGCTTTGTCTCAGCCCTGATGCCTTCCTGTCCTTCTCCAATTTGAACCCATTCAGATCTTTAAGGTCCAACAACGTATGAGACGGGCATGAGTTGTAAACTCTTGATCTAGACTTTAAAGTTGCATTCAGAAAGACATCATGAATTCTGACACTACTCTGTGTCCATCACATTTAACAATAAAGATGAGGATGGTGTTGCTCTGACTGAGCTATGACAACATCTTTACTCATGCTGAACTTAATCATTGGGCTTATGAAATGATTACTGTGTTTTTGGCAATGTTTAACACATTTTTTTTTTTTTACACATATGGAGTTGTTATTACAGTGTTAAGTATTGCAATGTGAACTGAAAGCACTATGCAGAAGTAGAGAAGAATATCCCTCCATGTACAGTGTTGTGTATCTTGGCGATAGAAAGTATGGATCACTGTTACTGGAATTGTGTAAATATTGTAGTGATACAAACTGTTCTTATTTTTTCTGCCTAATCCATGTACAGAGTGTAAAAGAGCACAGAGGAAATGTTTCAATATTATATTAATCAACTCAATGATCCCATAATCACAATCATAATGATTGATTGTCTTGAAGTTGCACCCTCTCCAGTGTATTGGTGTGAAAGGCATATGTATGTTAGATGCAATGTGTGGTGTGTGCAATACTATAACAAACTTTGCACTTTTCTTTTGTCCGACAAGAGTCACCTGTGTACTTTTACCTCAGCAGCATTTCAATTAAATGAATGAGAGTAACATTGTGTATGTGTTTTTTTACTTGTTCATGAGACTTCTGAGACAACCAACTAAAACACCTTGTCCATGTCACCAGATGTCAAACTGACAATTCAGTTCATTCTTGAAAATCACATTATCCATCCATCATTCCCTATGTTGACTTAAGAAGCACGACATGTCCCCGTTGACTGTAAATATAAATAGATGAAGCCCGAGTGACATCATCCATCTGTTCCTGCAGGGGGCTCCGGAGGCTCATCGGCAGCAGCCACCATGCTGGCAATGCTGTCTCGTCCTTACCTTCAGTCAACCTAACGGCAGGCTGAGAGCTGGAGCTGAGGCGGGTTTTAAGCCTTATGACAAACCATTACATCACAGTTGCGCCCACCTGTCAATCATGTCAGCTAAACTCCTAACTTTGGATAACAGGTATCGTTCGTGAAACCAAAAATTCCTTTAAAAGTTAAGGGTTTATTAGAAATAAAATACATTATTTAATAAATCATCACAATTATCAGTTCTGCAAGAAATACAAGCATACAAACAACGTCAAAGAGAGCCTGTACCTAACTGCACCCTTCAGGACTACAGGTCACAGGCTTATTATAGCTAAAATGGTTAAGTGTAGACATGTATGGGGGACTGTAGCTATTCATCTAATCCTTATGAATAATAAGACGGGAGGTTACCTACTGTCATGGCAGCCTTTGGGCATTTTGAGACATGTCTGTGGTTTAGGGTTTGTCAGCCTTTTGGAGCCCCCTCCAAAAAGTTGCCTGCCTTGCCTGTTGACAAGCAGCACCTCTGTTTACTCTATCGAAGACAAACTCTAAACAAATGAGCACATTTTCAAAAGAGAGAAGGAATGTCAGCTTTCTTAATTGAAACTGTGACTGGTTTAAGATGCATACAAATGTTCAAACGCTTCATGCAGACCCTGTGTTTTATTTTTCTACAGAAAACATGTTGGGTCTTTGTAGAAAATATGACTGCTTGAGACAACAATTGTTATGAATTTGTGACATACAAATAAAGATTGATTGATTGATTGATTGATAGATAGATAGATAGATAGTTATATAAAAAATAAACAGAAATGTGAAAATAAAAGCAGATATGGAGTTGATAAAAAAGTTAGCCTAAAATGTAATGAATGCTTTTTACTGAACAAAAAATAAAAGAGATGTCCCGTCTAATGAGCAGATTTCTCTTCAGGTTTTTTTTTGTTTCTCATTTCCTTGTGGTGTGATGGAGTTTCAGTACAATAAGATGGTAACCTTTAGCAGGCCCCTGTGCTGTCAGCCAGGCTACAGTCTCCATCTGGAGCAATACTAGAGGTGTGAAGATTGCTTCAGCAGTCTCCTTCACTGCCCTTCATCACTGATGTCATTTAAATTAAATACGTCGTTATGAAGGGAAAGCTTCTCCCTTCTTGATTTGGCCAAAAGGTTTTATAAAGTTAACAAATTACATCAAATTACAGTATATATTATTTATTCCATTGTACCTCATATAGCATAAATTGCACAACATACCTCAGACCTGTCTGAATGTTAAAGATCACTTTCAATGAATATCAAGTTTTTCCAACTTATTTAATGGTTGATATCGTGTTTTTCATATGACATAATAGCAGCTAACTAAGAAGATAATAATGGAACAGCATTTCATCTGAAACTATGATGTAACATTTACTTCAAAAAGACACATTCACTCTGTTATGGTTCTGTAGCCATATTGATTCATGGTCACGTGTAGAAAACAAAGGGGGGGGGGGGGGGCATGGGTAAGTACAAATCCTTTCTTCTCAGGTTTAGTTTCACTTTGACTGAACTTGTCGTAACTTGGGATCAGAACTAAGTTTTATTTCCTATTAGCATCACATTAGCTGTTTGTAAATCTAGTTCATCATGGACCATTTTACAAGAGTTTCATCACACTCTTGGATGAGTAGTTACTCTCACACTGTGACCAAACTCAGTTAATATGAACAGAGCACACTAGTACACCCCGTGATATACAGTATTATTGAGACTGTCTTTCTAGAGAGACACAGCTCACCTAACACTCTCTTTCTCTCTTACTCACTGACTCACCTGGTCCGACCCCTCTGTCTGCTTCTCTCACTATCATTATCATGAAAGTTCTGTTTCTCTTTCTGTCTTTCTGTCTCTCTCTCTCTCTTGCGTGTAAACACTCCCAGTGTTGCAGAAACAAGGTGCAAGTTAATCGTGAGTCAGGTGAACATACAACCAGTGAATAGGCCTGAACAATTTACCCAATCATATTAGAAACAGCACCAGCCTTAACTTATTTAAAAAACAAACCATTTATTTCCTGCTTGGCCAATTAACCAATGCGCCATCATAATCTTTCTCTGCCATAAGATCTTATTTCCTTTTTCCACCCTTCTTTAATTTGTCTCTTTCTTGTTTTGCTTTCTTTTACACCTTATTGAGTATGTGATCTTGTTAGCTTTATTGCTTTTGCTTGGACTACATTAATAATATGTCTCTGTGTTACATGTTTCTCTTTAGGAGGGCCACACAAGCCCCTCTGGGCTTATTTGGCTCCTCCAGCACATTTCTTTCAAAATGTATATTTTGTTAATTAACTAATCATTATGTACTGTCTGTTTTTCCATTGATCTATTATGTTTATGTTTTTTTTTTTGTGCAATAAATAAAATTAAAATAATTTAAAAAATTAAATTAAATTAAAATTAAGATTTTAAATTATAAGCTGAGTATTCAAGGACAGGAATCCCTTGATCTAGCTGTTATTACACCTCTCTTCTGATGAAGGTTTTGTTGTTAATAATCATGAGCTGGCATAGTGACTCCTGCCTGCTGTCGTTCATCCTGTGTTGGCCAGCTGTTCCAGCTCTATGTCCTTCACGCACTATGAGGGCTGATTATAAGCATGTGCTCATAAATACATATGTTTGCCTTTCACACAGTACACAATCCTACATGAATAGGACTCCTCACACTTAACATCGCACATAAACATATGTATGCAGATGCATAAGAAGCAATACGGACAACTTTAACCTGTAGGATGTTTAAGCTCATAGCTGTTGGTTTCCATAGGATCCATGTGGGCAGCGTCTCTTCTCCGCTGTGGTTTTGCTTCGTCCAACTGAGCGCCCAACACTTCTGTGACCCTTAGTGGAGCGCAGCCGTGAGCAGCTGGAGATACGGGTTCACAAGATCACAGGAGAACCAAAAGATTACGCGAGAATAAAAAGAAAAACGTGCAAGCAACATGTTACTTTGTGTTTCCGAGGTAGCTTGGTTGTTCGTTTGGTGCCTGTATGACAGAGTGATGGGATATATGATTGGGAGTCTGCACATTGTGTTTTATTTTGAAGTTGACTGGATGCTTCCTGTCCGGGTCGATCTGCTCTGTTCATCTTGACGACTGTAGCAGCTAGCAGGGCTCTGTCGAAAATAGCCTTGGTATGTATCTGGAGTGGAGTATGGTGGAGTGGAGCTACTGGCAGAAAGCGCTGGAGAAAGTGGAGACACAAGCATGAAGGTGCGATCACCTATCGAACTGAAATATCTGCTTCGTATAATCGCATATCTCCAGTTAAAGTGAACTCTTTTAAACATCAAATAACAGCAACACATTAACGAATTAACTTTAAAACTAAGTGCTTTAGCGTAACACAGTGAATCTGTAATATTCCAATGCATGGACACAAATCAAGCTTAATGGAGGGCAAAGGATCATAAATGTATTTTTGTCCAGTTCCAGGTGTTGGCTGTAAAGAGATCTTAAAATGTTCAGTTTGACTAATGAAGAACTGTAAGTTGTTTTGCAACAACAAAAGCTGCACACTTTGCTACCTTTTCTACCTTACACTGTCAATATGCTTCTGCTCAATGTGCCAAATACAGTTTTTTTAATTAAATTGAATTTTTTGGTTATCAAAATAATGTCAGTAAGGCAATAAATGAGTTCTTCAAATCACCTCATGAATCTCAAAAGAAATAGAAAATCAGTAACAGAAATATTGTATTAGTGTCAGTTAATGAGTTCTGGTAATGATACGAGTATTAAAGTGTTTTTAAACATTACCCAACCTATTACTGTACAGTCTTGGATAGCTACCTATAGGCAGATTCCACTAGCCTGGATTTCAGTTTATATGTCCCAGAAAGCAGCTTCCTGGCTCCAGTTTGACAGCAGAATAAATAACTGCAACGTGGAAAGACAATTTTAGTGCCTCTTCTTATCACTTTGCCCAGAATTGGAACAGACTGACACTATGAACAATCTGCCTACTGGATGGTTAGCGCCCATGTCGTCTGAGCTGTAAGGATGCATCTCTTGTGAGATTTTATACAAACTGCTGCTTCTCATGAAAGTGTCATGGATTATGGTCTAGTTCTACCAGTCACAATAGTGCTTCTAAATGGAGCTTAATATTAAATTGGTGCAGTGAGCAGGTACATGATTTCTATACAGTTGCCCTCGTCGGCATTATAAAATGTATATATTGATGATGAAAATGTGACATAGTTTTCAGGATCTGAGATCCATATGTATCATTACTCATGAGAAAAAAATATTTAGGCCATCCACATCTGGGTTAGAGGGAATTTAAAATCAATGTCTTTCTTTTCTGTGAGTGCTATTATTATCAGAGATGCATCTGTTATCTTGACACTTTGTTCTGTTTGTGCACACAGTCGAGAGGCAACTGGGAGAACTATGATCCATGCTCCCAGTTCAAGTCCAGAAGATCAAGCAAAGAGTGGGTAAGGGACCTCAGAAGGTTGATGGCTATTTATTGTCTGGAGAGTGCTTCTATATAATTAAAATGTAGTAACATGGTTAATGAATTGTATTGGCAGCTGGTCAATAGAGGGCACTGAGGCGCCGCTCAACTACTCCCCACATGGATAGA